TCTTATTGATTGCCTTATTCACAACTTCATATACATGTTCTAATACCTGAACTCGTATGTCTGTTCCCTCTAAATTCTAAACCCATGTTCTGGCGTGATAGAAGCAAGTTGAACATTTGTATTATTCAATTTTTCTTCCATGACTTGCTTGAGAACTTTAAGAGACAGTGTTTCGGCGTTCACCAAACTTATAGACTAATATTAAAATGAAAATTTCTATTAGTCAATGTACACTAAAATATAACATCTAATGATATTCACAAGTATAGTTAACTTTATCATATTCTTCTTGCAATTCTGTCTGAGCACCTTCAGATCCGGAACCAATAGCTTTAGCATCATATTGCATAAAAGTACCAGAGGGATCGGCGTGATATCTTTGATTTAAAGACAAGCCAAAAAAGTGTCATCCGGATAATCGATATGCATAACGATTGGGTTAATATATACTCACAGTTGAGGACCCTTCTCGTCGACGCCGGCAATCAATAATGCGACGCCAAAAGGTCGACTCTTAAAATAATTCCGTACTTATGAATATTCCAAATCGTTTATGTAAACAATTAATTTCGTTAAAGTTTACCATTATGGATTCTTCCCCATGTGCACTCTCACCAAACCTCAGTGCCAAATCGCATACAGCTTGTGTGACAGACTCTACTTTAATTTTTTCGTTGTAGGTAAAATGATGATTCTTTTGCAAAGTGAAATCAAATTATAAATAATTTATATGTAAGAATGTTAAAAGTAAATGTTAGATATATGCATTTATTTATCGAAAATCTACTTGTGCCTCAACTCTAGCATGGTCTATCATTGTTCTAGAATCGGCAGTTAAACCACTCATCGCACAACCCAAATGGGTATCAATTTCCATGATCTTCTCGATACTACTTGATACTAAAAGTGGGGAGGTGACGCGTTTTTCTACAGCCAGGACAACACCTTCAGAGGTCTGAATCCCTACCGCAGTGGAACCTAACTGTTTTTCATACAAGAATTAATGAAAAGGACAACGAACAATTAAAGATAAATCATTGAATATATACCTTAATGGCCTCGATCGCATATTCAACCTGAAATAGACGTCCTTCGGGAGAAAAGGTATTAACTCCACGGTCATATTCAGATCTTGTGAGAAACATTATAATAGCAAGAAATTAGATGCGTATTGAACGAAACTAACGCCTGCTAAAACTAATTAATCAGATCCACCAATCAGATTCATTTGTGTATGTTACACCAGATTATTATCTATAACGATAATTTCTAAAAAAAATATAAAAATGCGGAATACTTTTTTTCTTAAATAAAAATCATGATAAAAGTAGTTCCTTTAGGTGCCGGACAAGATGTAGGCCGTAGTTGTATTCTTGTATCCATAGGTGACGACAGTACAGGTATAAAAAACATTATGTTTGATTGTGGTATGCACATGGGGTATAACGATGACAGAAGATTTCCGGATTTTTCATATATTTCCAAGACTAAGCGATTCACCGAGCAGTTGGATTGTGTAATAATTAGTCACTTTCATTTAGATCATTGCGGTAATTTACTTTTAAAATATTTTTTCTTTTCTTACAATCAATCAGGCTTATTAAATTTTAATAATTCGATTTTTTTAGGAGCACTTCCATTTTTTACTGAAATGTGCGGATATGGGGGCCCTATATATATGACACATCCAACCAAGGCGATTTGCCCGATTCTACTTGAAGATTATCGAAAGATCACAGTAGAAAGAAAAGGTGAAACTAATTTTTTCACATCGCAAATGATTAAAAATTGTATGAAGAAAGTCACTGCTGTCAACCTTCACCAGACTATCAAAGTTAATAATGACGATGATTTGGAAATTAAAGCGTACTATGCCGGTCACGTTCTAGGCGCAGCTATGTTTTACGTACGAGTTGGTACACAATCAGTTGTTTATACAGGAGATTACAACATGACACCAGATCGACATCTCGGTGCAGCATGGATTGACAAGGTTCAACCAGACCTTTTGATTACAGAATCAACATATGCTACAACTATTCGTGATTCTAAAAGATCACGTGAAAGAGATTTCTTAAAAAAAGTTCATGACTGCGTCTCACAAGGTGGCAAGGTTCTCATACCCGTCTTTGCTTTAGGTCGAGCTCAAGAACTTTGTATATTAATAGAAACATATTGGGAGAGAAATAATCTTAACGTTCCAGTTTATTTCTCAGCTGGTATGACAGAAAAAGCAAATGATTATTATAAACTTTTTATTAATTGGACCAATGAAAAAATTAAAAATACATTTGTCAATCGTAATATGTTTGACTTTAAACATATAAAGCCTTGGGATAGACAATACGTAGACTTGCCTGGAGCAGCAGTGTTATTTGCAACACCAGGGATGTTGCATATTGGAACGTCTTTAGAAGTTTTCAAGAAATGGGCACCATTTCCTGAAAATATGGTTATAATGCCTGGATTTTGTGTTGCAGGTACCGTTGGAGCCAAAGTTCTTAATGGAGATAAAGAAATACAAGTTGATGCATATAATAAAGTTCAAGTTAACTTGCAAGTAAAGAATTTGTCATTTAGCGCACACGCAGATGCTAAAGGGATTATGCAATTAATAAAGCAATGCGCACCGAAAAATGTGATGCTTGTGCACGGAGAAAAAGCGAAGATGGAGTTTTTGCAAGATAAGATTAGACGTGAATGTCGGGTGCCATGTACTTGTCCAGCGAATGGAGAAACAATTACAATTGAAACGCCACTTTCTATACCAGTCGATATATCAATGGATTTACTTAAACGACATCTAAATGCGCAAAAATTTTCATTACCACTACCTGGAGAAAGAATTGATTTAACAAAGATCACACCTGTAGACGAAATACCCATTCAAGGAGTTCTGGTAATGGAGCCTGATAGAATTCCACGCTTAATAGATGTTGAAGAAGCTATTCGTGAAGCACGATTGCCCATTCTTAATATAGATTTCAAGATGTTTAAAACATTTGATCCGAATCAATTTAAAGACAAGATTATGGTAACGAATTTAGAGGGAACAGACATACGAGTTCAGGTATTAGAACATGTATATGAAGTTGTGAATAAGGCAATCAATAAGA